TGTATTGTAGCGTTAGATGGATCTTTTGTGTTCTCAGTCAGCAGTTTCATGTTGGATGAGTCATATTGCTGGTGTTGCAGGGTGGAGTGATACGTGAGAGGACTACTGTAGCATGAGCACTAAAGCCACCATTTTGTATTGAAGCTGCAATAATAGTAATAAAGCCCCTAATTTATGTATAGATTGAGTATATCATCTTTTTAATTAGTTTGTTTATTTTCTAGAAATATGACACAAAATTGGTGCAGTCTACATGTTGTTTTTAGCCCTTCACTTTTAGTTTTCCCTGGTGAGATATTCGTTGTTGGTGTTGCTGAACACTATTCAGTCAGAGTACAATGTTATTTTATTCTTACACTAACAATCTTAAGTCCAAGTCCACTTACGAGCTTTATCAGCAGATCCCCTGATGAAACATTGATATATGTTTGAAAGCTCCAGAAAAAACTCATACGCAGACTTTGACTTTTGACTCTATCTCTGTCTGATGATGTCTCTTGTGGTGGTCAAGAAGAACAAAGAAGAACTCACTACACCACCCAGTGTAGACCAAAAAAGCGAAATGTCAATGTGATGAATTGGGTTGACAAAATTAAAAGGACAAAATTCCATATTTTCTTTGGGACAACCTCTGTAATACTGATGTATATTTTCTCCATTAGACACATAATCAGACATGATCAAAACACTGCAAATTATATTGGAATTAATTAAATTCACAAAACAAGTAGGTGTCACTGAGTAGCTTTGTGAAGCCACTGCAGCAAGTGATGACTTACACTAACACCAGCTTAGCATTGCAAGGCAGGAACTGACTTCATTATAGCTCAATAAAGCCAGACAGAACATCAGGATTAGGTGAATAGTGAGAACAGGAATACAAGAGGGTAACAAAACAACAAATGAGACTGACTCTGTTGGCAGAACATGCTTTTCTGTTGCTGCACATTCATGTGAGAATTCTCCATGCTCTTAATCATAGCCTGTATCAGATTTGGGATCCAGACTGAGCTAGTTTGCAACCACAGTTTAAGTATCATAACTAAATGGATCGTGTTTGATGGCAGATATAGCTCTTGAGGGACACACAATATGTCGACAGTTTGATTGCTGGAGAAAACACAGCAGCAGCAAATTGGCGCCGTTTCAGAGGAGATATAGCAGTTACCACACAGCAAACGTCAGTGCCGAGAGAAATGAAGGGACATTAGGGCACAGCATAGCCAGGCCTGTTCAGTGTCACTGTTATGTAAGAGATGTCTTGGTGGCAACAAAGAGCCCCTGTCTCTGTCCGCCCCCCACCCCTCAGCCCTGCTGGCTGTCTGTTCTTAACCCCATCAACCTCCCTTCTATCTCTCTCTCTCTCTGCTTTGTTCACGTTTCTGCTCATACCCCCCTCTTGCTTTTACTTTATTCTCTCTTTTTCTCTCTCATACTGTGCCCATCACATAAATCAGCTGCTGCAACGTTGGTGCTGGAACCAGGTTTGACCTAGCGCTTCCTCTATTATTATTATTGATTATGAAACCATCCAGAAACATCCCTCTGGATATTTTCATAATCAATAATAATGTTTTTTAAAACTTGTTCCTGATTCTCACCTGCCTACATAAGTTTAATATTATAACAAAACATAACTACTAATGGGAACTTACTATAAATATGGGAATACAAAAAAAACATCCCAAAAGGGACACTCCACAAATTTTAAAAGGAGTCTAATGAAAGATGACATTTAGATGCATTATGGGAATGAAGCTCAGTGTAAGTTCATTTCATTTATTTATTTAAAAGGAACAGCGTACAGTAAAACATAAACGTTTCCATTCGATTTGTGGGCCCTGCTGCATCAACTATTTTGACCACTTTTTTTCACCAACATTATGGTGACTAAATAGCCATAAAAAACTCTTCGAGAAGTATGAGTAAGAGTAAAGTTTCTAAAATGTAAGAAGGCATGTCACTGACCAAACGCCTGGTTAGCCTGGTACCAGAATTTTCAAGCTTTTTAAAAAGGCCTGGTTTTGTTCTCATCAGAACTTTGTAGGAAGGAACTTTACTTTACTTGAAAGAATGGATAAGTCATCTTTCTGTGCCACAGTAAGACAAGTAGCAGCATAAAAATTCGCACAAGAAAGGACTGGAAAAGAATGACTCCACTGTGCAGGTCTCAGAGGTCTACATTTGTTTAATTTATCGATTACATTAAAAGTAAGTGCAACCACATCTGCTTCTGTGCAGACTGAAAAATTTCCTCCAGCCAACATGAACTAAGAATGAAATAAAACTATTGTTAAGATGTAAGACTGAATAAAAGTGAAGTAAAACAAGATGGCACATCAGTCTTATTATTATGCTGATGTTATACAGTATGTCATAAAATATCTACATAGAAACAATCACATATGTAAGAATTTCCTCTGGTTGTTTATTCAAGCACGGTATTATGACCCATTTTAACTTTTAATATGGCTGCCACCTCTAGTGGCCCTTCAGTGGTACCTTAGCAAAGCCGGGTGTTGTATTATAAGGAGGTGGATGGGGTAGATGGATGTGTTAAACCTAGGACCCAAGAGGTGGATGCATAATTCAGTAGAACAGATGTTGTAGTCTACCTGCCGAGATTTACATCCACCTCTTTTCTCAGCATAAATGAGCGTTACCTACCACCAGGTGCATTCAGTTCTCGACAGGCATGCAGAATTCGGCACAATACCGGTTTCCTGTCGCTGGACTAGTACAGGAAACACTCAAATGTGTCGTTTTGGGAGGTAACATTGGCTGGAAACATTCTTACATTAGAGCTTTGTCCAAACAGACAGTACCTCAAAAGTCAGCTGCCTGACTGTTGTGACGACCCCTGTGGGGCTGTCCTGTGTAACTTTCTTGTGCTTACATTCATTAGGTAAATCGTGAACACCTGACCAACACCAGATTGTGACACTGTATGCAAGTTTGTGCTTTAATGTTTGTCAGGTATTCATCCAGTCACTTTATATGCTGTTAAACATGTGCTCTGCTTACAGTATACCACTTGAGCAGATTTGAAAACCAAAGAAAAGTCAATCCATCTTTTTCATCTTTAAACAACGATTCAGTTCAGTTGTATTTATATAATGTCATCTTCAGTTATCTCATTGCACTTTTTATAGAGAAGGTCTAGACCGTACTCTTTTTAATATTATTAAAGACTCGGGTGGCAAGTTCCACATAGAGAAGTAAAATAATAGAGATGGTAGTGGTGTCACAACCTGGCTCAACAGTAAGTCACAAAAGCAGGAAACCACACAGTCTGAAATTAATAATAGATATTTTAATAAGTAAATTAAGCAGCAAAATATACAATTGTAGGTGTCTGTCAGATCAGTATGCACGCAGTGTATGTGTGAGTGGAGTGTATGGGTGTAGAACACAAAGAACCAAACAAAACAGAATCAGTTGGCAGGCCAGGAGAAGAGGGAGTCAAATCATCAAGCAGGCTTCTTTATAGCCACCTGAGCCCCGCCTGCTCAGGTGTGTTGCATAACAGCAAGATACAAACAACAAGAGAGGGCCCAAACCTTGGGCCGTCACAGTGGTAAAACTATTACTTTATTATTAACTATTATAACTATTACTATGCTATTAACATAGACAGTACATTGTACATTGCACATGTTGAATAAAATTGCACATACTGAATAAAACACCTGCGAAAGAAGGAGAGAGGAGAGGGATGAGAAAGCACACAACTACGGGAAAGGGAAGAAGCTGAGCTAGTAACATTACTTGGATAAGAATGCATTCAGATAGAGAGGGAGAGGAGGAAAGAGGAGCTTGGTGCATCATGGGAAATCTCCCAGCAGTCTAGGCCTATAGCAGCATAACTAAGGGATGGTTCAGGGCCCTAACTTTAAGCTTTATCAAAGGGGAAAGTCTTTCCCCTACTGGAGATGGGTCTGCCTCCCGAATCCAAACTGGGACCTGGTTCCACAGGAGAGGAGCTTGATAGCTGAACGCTCTGGCTCCCATTCTACTTTTGGAGACTCTAGGAACCACAAATAACCCTGCGTTCTGGGAGCGCAGTGCTCCACTGGCTACACACGGCCTCCCAAATCAAATTCAAGTCGCTTGCATACAGAGCGACTACTGGGTCTGCACCCATCTACCTAAACTCCATAATACAAGCCTGTGTTCCTTCTCGGCCACTGCGCTCCTCCAACGAACGCTGCCTGGCTCTGCCATCCCTACACACAAAGCAATCCCTGTCCTGGTTGTTCTCATGATGGTGGAACAAGCTACCACACACCATCAGAGCAGGGGTGTCCCTCTCTAATTAAATTTTTGTATTTACCCCATTGATGCCGTATGTGCTAATAGCTCTTACTAGTATTGTTGCACTTACGAGTATTGTCAGTTGTAGATCTCGTGCTGTATTGATGCTCTGTTGATGCTTGTATCTTATTCGTCAAATGGAAGTCGCTTTGGATAAAAGCACCTGCCAAATGAGTAAATGTAATCTTATGTAATGGGTAGTAAGGTACTATGAGCTCTTTAAGATAAGATGGTCCCTGACCATTAAGGGCTTTGTAGGTGAGCAGAAGAATTTACATTCTGTTCTGGATGTTACAAGGAGCCAATGCAGAGAAGCTAATACAGGGGAAATATGATCTCTTTTTCTGGTTCTTGTCAGTACACATGCTGCAGCATTCTGGATCAACTGGAGAGTCTTAATGGTCTTATTCAGGCAGCCCGATAATAAAGAATTGCATTAATCCAGCCTAAAAGTAACAAATGCATGGACTAGTTTTTCCAGATAATTTTGAGATACTGTAGGATGTGCCTGATTTTTAACTAGGTGAAGAAAGGTGGTCCTTGAAGTTTGTTTTATGCAGGGGTTTAAGGTCATGTGCTGATCTAAGATAACTCTGAGATTTAAGCCTCCAGTCCCTTCCAAACATCCAGCGAGAGTTGTACTGAAATAAGCTTTGATGCTGACAAGGACATTGTTTCTTTCACAGTGAAATCTGACAACAAGGACAAGCAGGAGAAGAAAGACATCATGTCCAGCAAGACAGACAAGATCGACACCTTTGACAAAAAAGAGAAAGAAGAGCAGCAGAAGAAGGACAACGGCCCAGACAAGAACCAGAAGTCTGAGAAGATTGTCAAAGATGAGGAAAAGATAGAGAAGATGAATGTGGAGAAAAACAACAAGGCCATGGAGAAGGCAGAGAAGGTAGACAAGCCGGAGAAGACCAACAAGGATGAAAAGAAAGAAGAGGAGAAGAAACCGGCTGAGAAGAAGGAAGAGAGCGGGAAGGGAGTGAAAGGAACTGCCAAGTCCCCAACAGGCAACAGCAGCAAGACTCTGCCAAGCCCTGACAGCAAGAGCAAGGTAGGTCACACACACACACTCACAGAATACTGCTGTTCACATACATTTCTGCACACAGATTCATACACTTAGAGGGACCAGGGACAGAAACAGCACTGTCAACTCTGCTACAGCCAGTATATCTAATAACAACCTGCTCTGGTGTCCTTGCACTGCTTCTGCTCCTTCTACCAGTCTCATTACCAAATCATCTGCTCATTATTTACTCGATTAATCATTTGGTCTATAAATAATGGAATTATAGACAATCCTCAGAAAACAGTGTCAGGGGGAAGTAAACACAACAATAAGAGAACGGACAGAAGGTCAGGGAGCCACTGTGACTGACTGGCATTAGCATGTTCGCACCTGGCTAGCGAGTTAGCTTTCCATCAACTAGCCCCGCGATTTGTCACTACATCACCAAGCTTCCATCACCGCATGCTCAGCGAAGGTGCACAGATGAACTTTGCTGTGCCACTTTCCGGGCCGTTAGCATGTATTTAGAAGTTCTAAAAATCCATCACTGAGTCTCTGTGGATGTGTATGAATGCGTCCAATATCTGAGACCTGATTTCCATGTCATATGCTACTTTTGGACTGCTGCTCATTTAATCAGATTTGAGGCTTATAATTTATCATGTATTGCTCATGCACCCTCTAAAGTGGCTATAAATTGCTAATTTTATTTTAGAAATTTTATGATTGTCATGTTGCTGGCTGTGCTGCCATGTCACGCTGCCATTGCGATCAGTGATTGCAGTTATTTTTCTTTGCTTTTTCTTTCTGTGCTTCCTTTTTCTTTCTTTCCTTTCCTCTTCCCTTTTTTCACTATTATGTGGCTTCTTCTAAATCCATTGTCACCAGCCTGACGTGGCTTCAGCTAAACCAAACTCAGCCAAATCTCGCCCATCCACCCTCTCCACCAATGGCGAGGCCAACTCGGCCAAACGCCCCATCCCCACCACAGCCTCAACCAATAAAAAAAGCCCTGTACCCAAGGCGACCACACCCACCGCCGTCAAGCAGTCACCAATGGCAGTTGGTTTCGCCAAGGCTGCCAAGGTGAGTATATTCAGGTCTTTCTCAGTCTGCGTTCTTGTCTGTACTCTTTTTCTTGTGAACTTGTGAAAGATCATGGGTGGTGACGGCTCATACATAAAATGCTTGCCTTTGGTGACCTGTGGGAGACCTGGGTTCGATTCCCACTGTGAGACATCCACCATTGTGTCCCTGAGCAAGACACTTAACCCCTAGTTGCTCCAGAGGCGTGCGACCTCTGACATGTATAGCAATTATAAGTCGCTTTGGATAAATGAATAAATGTAATGTAATCATCATTCACATCCCTATTCAAAGCGTGCATTTAACTGAGTTCAAATGCCCTGAAGTGTTCTTGCTCCACCCGTTTAATCGAGGATACTTTAGGACTTGAGGTAGACATGTATCCCAGCATGCATTTCTGGTTTCAAATTAGCGAGGGGCAATGCGGTAGTATATGAGCTAAGCTGATAAGCGTTTTATTTTTCATTCTGTCAACTATTAGTCTGTCACCAATTAAGGCTTTGGTACTTAAATTTTAAATAAGTTGTCATTTTATTAGAATAATGCCTACATTTGCTCCCATGTTTTTAAAGGCTTGAGGATCAGCATCCTTTTGGTAATTTACTGGTAGCACTGATGAATTTAAAACTTTTTAAATATAAGATATAATACCTTTTGCAAGATAATTGTTGGTCACAGAGTCTAAAAATAATAATTGCTAGATGAGTTGAATTTATGGAGTATTTTTTTTGTGAACAGTTAAAGTTGTACAATAACACTGCCTCTGTGGTTTTGGCTTTCAACTTTCAAAGTTGAACAACAGTCAAATAAATGTTTCTTGTTAAATCCAAGCCCGATTTAAAACATTTTTATCAGACCAATCTATTTAGCTTGCACTCAGTAAAAATTGTAGTTTTAATTATTTTAATGTTTTTATGACCGCTAACCTATTAAAATGCTATTTAAGCTATCTGTTATAATTTAACCTCCATATTACTTTTATATGAACATTTTGACAGGCTAGAATTCTCATGTAAGGGAACCGTCATAACTGTTTGCAACATATAAATCGCTGCTCAGGCTTGATTGATGTGCTTGTCCCTGCCTCACAAACCAAAAAAATTCAATTGAACACAAATCAATAGTCAAATACAGAAGAAGAGAAAAACAGAATTACAAGACATATTATTCTGACCGTCAGGGCTTAATATTTGTATAGATGTTATTTATATATATTATATATATATATATAAATAACATCTATACAATATTAATATATATATATATATAAGGATATATATAAGTATCGTCACATCCTACTTACCAAAGGTTTTGTGCGTCGCTTGATACTTATTATTGATCACTGACTATAATTATCATTGATTATATGCAGTCTATGAGAACTATCTGTAAAATATGCAGAAAGCCTTTATTCAGCCTTTCTATCTGATAAGTTACCATGATGACACAACCTTGCTGTAAACAAAACAACACTTCGTAACAGGGTGGCTATGACTGAAGTTTTTCAGTCAGTGGAGAGCAACTGCAGCTCCAAAAGCTGCAGCTGCCTCAATCTTGTGTGATTGTTGTTTCTTACATTTGAATGACATCAGGCCAAGTTGAGATCAAGTTGAAATCGAACCATTGTACCATCGATCGTCGTTGACAGTCTCATTTAAACAAGCCTATTATTTACAGTAATGTAAGAGTAATCACCAGAGCCTGGTGATGTCAGCAATATGTCAGGGTCCTCCTGTTGAATGTGACACACTGAGAAAGGACTTCTGTCCCCACTGATTTAGACTTTTGACCCATAAAATGTTTATATTTTTACTTTAATCTCTTGCCTACTGTGGCTTTAAAAGCTTTTATACCTGCATGGACATCAGTGACAATTTTGTCACTGCTGTCCAAAATGTATTACATGTGGTGACTGTTTCTCAATTTTTGTAAATCTGGCAATAAGACCTCAGTCCTGCTTCCTTCTTCCCCTACTGTTTATCATACGTCTGTCTTCACCGTCTTTCCTCTCTTTGCTTTCATTCTCTGCATATGTCGTGATTGCATGATTGGCCTCATAACATGGGAAAACAGGACAACTTAGCCTTAATGCACACAGCAGCAACAGTACACACAAACCTGATATGCATGCAGACATACAGAAAAATTCTTACACATACAAATTATCAAAAAATACACACCCACAGCTTATTTCTCATCTGTTTTCCAGACTCCAGAAAATGGAACAGCTGAGAAACGCCCACCTGTGCCAAAGGCCACAGCCACACCCCGTGCTACTGCCAATAAGAACAGCTCCTCTGCGACTGCTGCAAGTAAAACCGCTGGTACGGTGTCATCATTCCTATTATATCTACAATGTCTGTCTGCCCTCTGCACCTGATTGTGAACACTACTGTCACAGGCAGTATCTCCACTTTCCTTTGGGTAGTTCATAGTGTTGCCAGTGCAACATGACCTCTACAACAGGACCTGAACTTGCTACATTAGCTGGAAAAATGACTCACTGCGTAGACTGGCCCCACTCCAGGCAACAGGCTAACTGAATTGCTACCATATGTTACACTTTATTGGATTCAAGAGCTGACTTTTGGAGACACCAGACTGGTATTTTTATCTGCACATCACAAACAGTATCTCACCTCTCTAGGCGATAGAGCTGTGATCTCAGTCTGAGCCATGTTTGTCAAACAGGCTTTCTGCTTTTTGTGCACTTCAGCTCAGCAACTTCAGAGAAAATGTGCACAGTGATGGGTGTTATGTACTGCAAGGTGCCTATTTCATTTTAGTTGTATGAGTGAACTCTATTATTTTTGTGAGTGTTGTCATGATGGCAGCAGTTTAGTTAGATTCCATAATGCTTCTGTGACAAAATTGCGGTATTACATACAACACAGCTTCATCAACTAATGACCATGCTGTCACATCTCCATAAACGGTGAATAACTTATGTCATCTGGAGCTCCCAAATCTCATATACATTTGATAAGTGAAGAACACTCTATGTGTGCAGCAAACTGCAGGATTTGGTTGGACAGGAAATCTTGGCAAGACTTTGCAATTATCCGTCATTAACAGCCAATCGCCAAAGTTAAAATCATTTTAATTTTAAAAATCACATGAAACATCTTGAAGTTGTGAAATTTGGCACAAGAGCTATACAACAAGCTGACTGCCCTGATGTATTATCACCTTATAAAGTTGTTATGGCTCAGGTCTTAGTTAGTTGTCTGTGACTGTTTTGGTCTCCACCAACTCATGAAAAAAATATCTGGCTGTTTAGCTGGTAAATGTTTGATTCTTTGCCAGCTAGCTACTAACTTTGTCTGTCTGCTGATTTGTACTAAATGTGCTCTAATGGTGCATTCCATTTGACATGGGAACTCAGAATTTTCGAGTTCAGACTTGGAAATTTCAAAGGGAACGACCCTTTAAGTAGGATTACCAACTTGGAAAGTCGGGACCGCACCACCCCGACTTTGTGATCCAAGATGGCTGCTCTGAGTATCAACAGTTGTGTCTCATAGAAATTTTCTTACACAAAGTGCTGCCCAACTACTCTCTCTGGATGTGTTGACACTGTGTTTAGTATGAGTAAATACCGCACAATGCCTAACAATAGCTAACCTGGCTAGTTGTAAACAATGACGATCGAGGTTTTCTGGAACGCTGTCAACTCTGGTGTGACGTCATTCCCATCTCCGACCTCCGACTTCCGAGGTAAATGAAACGAACAATAAATCCAAAACTGGGAGCTATAACAGCATAAAAGCTACAATAACCCGATTCATTGGTTGGTATTAAAAATATTGGTTAGTTGAGCTGTTAAATTGACAGCAAAGTTTACAAAAGCAAGGGATCTAAAAAATCAGGCATTACCCAAATTTGTCAGACTAGAGTAACCAAATCAGCCACTTTGTCTACAGAAGATGGCGCTGTCTATAGCTGCCTTGGTGTTAGGTGAGCTTTGTTTAGTCTTGTTTTTGTGTGTTAACTCAGTTTTTGGCTGTTTCCCGGAGCTCTTTCACCAGAGAAGAGCTCATGAACATCAGGGGAACAACTCCAGCGGATTTATTTCACATGTTTCTCACGTCATCAGTGGAATTATTGGACCTTTTGGTGAAGGGCTGTCTCGTTATTGTTCGCCGAATGAAGCGCCGTAAGAGAGGGAAATGAGCCGGGTCACTCATGCGCCTCCGCCGGCGGGGACTCACTGTGAAACAAACTGGACGAGCTTCAGCTTCTGTTGGGGAAAAACAGAGACTTTTATTCATCTTCTGTTCTGTGCTTCACGGAGACGTGGCTGTGTGGATCAATACCAGACTCTGGCTGGCTTCCAACTCTACAGAGCGGATCGCAACACAGAGCTGTCCAGCAAAATAAAAGCTGGAGGTATCTGTTTATATTAACAATGGCTGGTGTACCGACGTGATTGATAACGTTGATGATGTCATTCAGCAGCACTGTTCTCCTAATCTGGAATTTTTAATCATAAACTATCAACCGTTTTACTCCCCCCATGAGTTTGCTCCATTCATTCTGGTTGGTGTTCTCATTCTGCGGCACACCAACGTGCACGACGCACAGCACATGCTGGCCGACCAGATACTGTGAGTGGAGCAGACTCCCTTGTTATTGTTCTTGGTGACTTTAACAAAGGAAACCTCTGCCAAGAACTCCCCAAATACAGACAGTTTATGTCCAACCAGAGAGGGGAACACTTTGGATCACTGTTACACCACAGTTAGCAGTGCCTATCACGCCGTTACACGCGCTCCACTGGGACACTCTGATCACGTGATGGTCCATCTGATTCATGCTTACAGGCAAAAACTAAAGCTCTGTAAACCTGTGGTGAGGACATCAAAGAAATGGACCAGTGAAGCTGTAGATGATCTTCAGGTGTGTTTGGATTGAACTGACTGGGACGTTTTCAAGAAGGCTACCAACAATCTAGATGAGTGTACAGAGGCTGTGACGTCCTACATCAGCTTCTGTGAGGACACCTGTATACCAACACGCACCAGGTTGAGTTATAGCAATGACAAACTCTGGTTCACAGCTAACCTCACACAGCTGAGGTAGGAAAAGGAAGAGGCATGTAGGAGTGGCGACCGCGCCAGGTTTAAGGAGTCAAAGTACAGGTTTAGCAAGGCGGTGCGAGATGCTAAACAGTTGTACGCAGAGAGCCTACAACACCTGTTCTCAACAAATGACTCTGCTTCTGTCTGGAGAGGCTTCAGACAGAGCACTGGCTACAAACCTAAATCCCCCCACTCCATGAACAACTCACGCCTTGCCAACGAGCTGAACCAGTTTTAACAGCTCACTGGAGTCATGCCATGTGCCAGCCTGCTTCAAAGCCTCTGCCATCATCCCTGTCCCCAAAAAACCAAGGACCACGGGGACTAAATGACTACAGACCCATCGCCCTGACCTCTGTGGTAATGAAGTCTTTTGAGTGCCTTGTGTTGTCCCACCTTAAACCATCATAGACCCACTCCTGGACCCTCTGCAGTTCGCCTGCAGAGCCAACAGGTCTGTAGAAGAGTCAGTAAACATCGTCCTTCACTACATCCTCCAGCAACTGGACTCCCCAGGCACCTACGCCAGGATCCTGTTTGTGGACTTCATCTCTGCTTTCAACACCATCATCCCGGCCCTGCTGCAGGACAAGCTCTCCTAGCTGAGCGTGCCTGACTCCACCTGCAGGTGGATCACAGACTTCCTGACGAACAGGAAGCAGCACGTCAAGATGGGGAAACTTGTCTCTGACTCCAGGACCATCAGCACTGGTTCCCCTCAAGGCTGCACCTGCAGTCACCAGTCTGTCAAGCTCCTGAAGTTTGCGGACGACACCACCCTCATTGGGCTCATCTCTGGTGGGGATGAGTCCACCTACAGGTGACCTGGTGCAGCCAGAACAGTCTGGAGCTCAACGCTCAGAAGACAGTGGAGATGGTCGTGGATTTTAGAAAGAGCACAGCCCCACCCTCCCCCATCATCCTGTGTGACTCCCCAGTCACCACTGTGGACTCCTTCCGCTTCCTGGGCACCATCATCTCCGAGGACCTTAATTGGGAGCATAACATTACCTCCCTCACCAAGAAGTACGTAGGAAGATGTACTTCCTGCGGCAGCTGGAGAAGTTCAGCCTGCCAAAGACAATGATGGTGCACTTCTACACCGCCATCATTGAGTCAATACTCACCTCCTATATCACCATCTGCTATGCTGCTGCCACTGCCAGGGACAAGGGCAGGCTGTAGCGTATCATTCGCTCTGCAGAGAAGGTGATTAGCTGCAATCTTCCATCACTTCAGGACCTGCATGCCTCCAGGACTCTGAGGCGAGCAGGAAAGATTGCAGCTGACGCCTCCCGGTCACAAACTGTTTCAGACTCTCCCCCCTGGCAAGAGGTTGCGGTTCATCAGGACCAAAACCTCTCGCCACAAAAACAGCTTCTACCCGTCTGCAGCTAGCCTCATCAACAAGACCCGGGCCCCCCACTGACACTCCCCCCCTTTCAAATAATATAATTATCTCTGCACATGTAATTACCACTTCATGTCATATGATGCACGAACCTGGCACATTGCACATATTTGTTTTTAATTGCAAATTGTTGTTGTTCCATTGTTATTTTTATTTTTTTATATTGCCAGTTATATTATTTTTGTATATTTTTCTGTTATTCTTATATAACTTGCATTTGTTTATTACATATTTATATATTTCTACATCTATTTATGTCAGCTGTATGTCTGTCTGTGTGTAGCACCTTAACACCAAAGCAAATTTCTTGTATGTGTAAAACTTGGCAATAAAGCTCCTTCTGATTCTGATTCTGATTCTGAAATGGCAACAAAGTACTGTACACTATCACTGTATTTCAGACTGCAAAACAAAATTTAGCTCTAGATGGTCAGCGCTGGTGCTTGTCCGTACAGCAGCAACTATGTGAAAATTACTCCTGACTTATAGTTAGATAAACTAAAGTCTGACATGAGTGTTGAGGTATTTGGTAAAAGGTGTTTAATCTGATGTTTCCTGCTTACAGCGAACAAGAATGACAAGACTGAGAACAAGACGGGAGAGGCCAAGAAACCCAAGAGTACAGGTAACAAACTAAGAGAAAAGACAGACAATACTGTTTCAATATTGTTCTCATATAACTAAATGTCATGAGAATAAAATAGTTTTTATTAATGTGGAAAATTGTTTTAACTCACACTGCACATAAATCGTGTGTCCTTTTTGCACAGCCAGAACCTACTACTTTAACGCTCACACTGAATGGATCAATTGACCCTTCACTAAGCCACGCCCCGAATACTCAGCTGGCCAATCACAGCGCAGTATAGGACTTACTATAATTGTGGTCCGACACTTTCATTGCTGTGCTCCATTGACTAGTATGCAAAATTAGTCGTTTTCTAGCTTTTTTTGCTGTATTTCCATATCCAAGTTATGGTCAAAGCTGTTCCTGGAGCACTTTTAATAGTTACAGTCGCTACCCCGAGAGGTGTAGAAAACCTAAACAAATCCAGGAAAATGTAGGCTGTCTGTTGTTTCTAATGTAACATACAGAGACCTGTACAGAAGCAGTGTTGATCCTTAATATTGTTGTCCTCTTTCTCAATAGTCAGTAATAATACGGGGGTTCACTTTTACTCTGTGATCGGTAGGGTTGAACTTCTGTCTTTATTTTTTTTACGTCTGCCTGAATACAACCTTTAAATGCACAATGCAACTGCAAAACTGTCTGCTTCTTTCTGAGATTGCTCTTTCCAAAAATGAGTAAATATTTCTCTAGGGACTCCAGTTATAGACGGGCAATGCCTTGCTAAAAGTCCAACAGGTCCGACAGTTTGTCAGACTCAGCAATAGTAACTAAGTAGGCCGTGGCTTCACGAAGGGTCAATTGACCGACGTGGAACTCACACTAAACGACTCACACTTTTCACACAATTCATCACTTTTCACACAATTTATCCATCCATCGTCAACTGCTTATCCTGCGTACAGGGTCGCAGGGGGCTGGAGCCAATCCCAGCTTACATCGGGTGAAAGGCGGGGTACACCCTGGACAGGTCGTCAGTCCATCGCAGGGCCCTTGACAATTCAATTCTAATTAAATTTATTAAAATTTTTTACAGACACTTGTTGAAACAATGTTGATAAAGAGAGCAACTACTATGAACAGAAAATAAGAAGTAAAAAAAAAACTATAGAACTGCAAAGGTCTGGAAGATCAGTAACTGGCAGTTTATCAGGCATCCCCCCCTCAAAATGCATATCAAACAACAACAGGTCTGGCAAAAATCTGGCCAATGTGCTTATGGCTTAATCGATAGTGTCTACCAGGCTTTAGGGAACAATGACTGGTGTGGCATAATTGTTACTGCCTGATTAGAGCAATTATTACAGTACATAAAAGCATGGTGATGTTATATGTTGATCAATACCAGTACCTCAATGATGAAAACTGAGGTCACAAACTCCTCTTCTTTCCTCTTATCTCATTGAAGTTAACACTCATTTTACAAGCCAAACAGCAGTCTTTTTAACTAGTCTAAAAATGGTCACTAGTGTTACTATTGTTATGTAGGGCAGGCTTCAAAAACTGAAAAGTTTGGTCTCATCTTGAATTGGAGCATTTGCAGATGAATTTCATACCTGATATTTAGTTAGTTATGATCCACTAAAGTTGTAAACCCCTTGTAGTTAGGGACTACAGAGCTGGGAGGGACAAGTAAGTGAGATTTAACTTAACTCTGTTTGGGAGGTGAGAGGGAAGGTTTTAATTGTGTGTTGTTGACTGTTTTTTAAATTTATTTCTCTGTAGCCCGTCCTCGCCCGGCCTCCACCACCACTCCTGCTACTCCGGCTGCCTCCACTAACGGTGAAAACACCTCCGCCCACCGCCGCCGGGTCATCACCAAACCCCCTGTGCCCAAGCAAACGCCACTGGAGAAGAAGCCACCGGTGCCCCGTGCTCCTCGTACCCCTCGGCCCATTAACGCTCCAACACCTGATCTGAAGAACATCCGGTCCAAGATCGGATCCATTGACAACATCAAGTACCAGCCTGGTGGAGGAAAGGTAGGACAAACCAAACAGTAGAAGAAAGGTCTATAAAAATCTTCAAAACTTCTAAATCATTCTGCAGCATTTCAAGATTACTGAAATGCTGCAGAATGATTTTCTTGTATCAGCAAATGATTTGGCACTGTTTCACATGTTTTCCTCAGAGGGCTTCCTCTACTCTGGGACCAGACTGGTGTTCAGAATAAATGCTAATCAATCTGTCCTTGAAAAGTTAACACTGTATTGAATATCAACTTGTTGATACATTGCACTGATTAACAACCTGGAAGCTGAACTGCAGTCATTAAAGAGGCTAAAGGCTGAAATATGTAGCTAAAAAGCTGAAAACAAAATACTGTCAAAAGCTGGAACAACCTGAAGTTGAAATGTGCCAGCTGACCTCCATTACCTAGTAATGCTAAAGTTGAAATACATGTTATAAAAGCTTGAGCCTTAGCTGTAATACTGTTAAAGCTGCATTTACCATAAAAGGTAAAAAGGGGTGGAATAGAAGCAAAGAAAATAAACGTCCTTAAAGAGCTGAACATTTTGTAATTTAAATGGCTTCACAAGTCTGCACAGGTATTAGTCGAATGAAAAATATATAGAAGAATAAATTCTAAAGCATTGCTGAAAATGCATGAATGACATTACCAAAACCAAAAGAAGCTAAGAGCTGAAATACATTGCTTGAAAAGCTGAAAGCTAAATTGTAAAATTGTTATTGGTTTTCACTTATTGCAATAAATCATTGAAAAAAGCACAATATTTTATTTAGTGTTAATGGTAGGAGCATAAATGTCCTTAAATACCACTTTTTTTTACATTCGAATGGTTTCACTAGTTCATAATAAGCAGAAGTAGTAGTTGACCGAAAAACACATGAAAGAAGAATAAATTATTATATATATATATATATATATCAATGATGTTGGTCTTGCTGCTGAAGACGCTCAGATCCACCTATATGCAGACAACACCATTGTGTACACATCCGGCCCTTCATTGGATACTTTACTAACAAACCTCCAGGAGAGCTTTAATGCCATACAGCACTCCTCCCATGAACTACATCTATTACCATACTCCGGTAAAACTAAGTGCATCCTTTTCAACCGATTGCTGCCCATACATGCCAGTCTGACTCACCACTCTGAATGGGTATGAACTAGAAAATGTGGACACCAACAAATATCTAGGTGTCTGTTTAATTCAGAGAATGATCCCCTGGCTCCTCCAGGCTGCATATTGAAGTGTCCTTGGGCAAGATAGTCTGAGAAAGTTGGGGCCAGTTGTCACTTTCTCAGGCCAGTTGGGAGGGAGTTGTTATTTTATCACTATACTATGAACAGTTGCTCATGGTTATTGGCTTGAGTTTCAGAGTCAGTGGTGCCCCCTTTTTCAGAGGTCATTACCATTACATGCTAATTGAAGAGAGGGCAACAATCTATCTCTATTACTATCTTTCTGTTTCCCTTTTCTGGCTTCCCATCCAACCTTTAGTCTCCGATCGTTTCTCCAGTTCCTTTGTCTCCCTTTGTCGATTCACTGACTGATCCTGTGCATGCTTTCTATATTCCACTGTTATAAAGGTACATATCATGTCATGGACTGACATGGCTCAGACACCTGTGTGACAGTTTGTTTGGGGAAAGGTTTGCCTGCTTTATGCTTGGCTAGCCTGGCTCTCTTCAACATTAGGAATTATACCTGGCAACACATAAAGATTACTAATTAGCACCTATCTTGTTGATTTTTTTTGAATGTTGCAGTGAGTCAGGCTAGCTGTGTATATATATTTTTATATATATATGTATATCCCAGCTCCAGCTTTGTAGTAAATGTACAGACATGAGAATGATATTAATCTAATCATCTAACTCTCAGAAGGAAAGATCTTCCAAAATCTTTACAATTTAAAAATTATGATACATTTTAATTATTTAGCAAATTACTTACAGTACATACATACAGTACATACATACAGTACAATAAGTTATTGTTTTCCATGCATTTAGTTATATGAAAGTGATATCGATCTTCTCATCAAATACTCACACCAAGAACAACAAATGAAAACAAATAAACAACACAAACTAACTAAGAAGATACAAAGTCTTCAGAGGTGCTGGCATGCATATATATATATATATCCCTAACCTTGGAGGTGTTTTCTGTGTTTCCAGTCTCATGCACTTTACACACGCAAACTGAATAAAACATATACAGTGGGTACGGAAAGTATTCAGACCCCTTTAAATTTTTCACTCTTTGTTTCATTGCAGCCATTTTCCAAAAATCAAAAAAGTTCATTTTATTTCTCAGTAATGTACACTCAGCACCCCATCTTGACAGAAAAAACAGAAATGTAGAAATTTTTGCAAATTTATTAAAAAAGAAAAACTGAAATATCACATGGTCATAAGTATTCAGACCCTTTGCCGTGACACTCATATTTAACTCAGGTGCTGTCTATTTCTTCTGATCATCCTTGAGATGGTTCTACACCTTCATTTGAGTCCAGCTGTGTTTGATTATACTGATTGGACTTGATTAGGAAAGCCACACACCTGTCTATATAAGACCTTACAGCTCACAGTGCATGTAGAGCAAATGAGAATCATGAGGTCAAAGGAACTGCCTGAAGAGCTCAGAGACAGAATTGTGGCAAGGCACAGATCTGGCCAAGGTTACAAAAAATTTCTGCTGCACTTAAGGTTCCTAAGAGCACAGTGGCCTCCATAATCCTCAAATGGAAGACGTTTGGGACGACCAGAACCCTTCCTAGAGCTGGCCGTCCGGCCAAACTGAGCTATCGGGGGAGAAGAGCCTTGGTGAGAGAGGTAAAGAAGAACCCAAAGGTCACTGTGGCTGAGCTCCAGAGATGCAGTCGGGAGATGGGAGAAAGTAGTAGTAAGTCAACCATCACTTCAGCAATCTACCAGTCGGGGCTTTATGGCAGAGTGGCCCGACGGAAGCCTCTCCTCAGTGCAAGACACATGAAAGCCCGCATGGAGTTTGCTAAAAAACACCTGAAGGACTCCAAGATGGTGATAAATAACATCCTCTGGTCTGATGAGACCAAGATAGAACTTTTTGGCCTTAATTCTAAGCGGTATGTGTGGAGAAAACCAGGCACTGCTCATCACCTGTCCAATACAGTCTCAACAGTGAAGCATGGTGGTGGCAGCATCATGCTGTGGGGTGTTTTTCAGCTGCAGGGACAGGACGACTGGTTGCAATCGAGGGAAAGATGAATGCGGCCAAGTACAGGGATATCCTGGACGAAAACCTTTTCCAGAGTGCTCTGGACCTCAGACTGGGCCGAAGGTTTACCTTCCAACAAGACAATGACCCTAAGCACACCGCTAAAATAACGAAGGAGTGGCTTCACAACAACTCCGTGGCTGTTCTTGAATGGCCCAGCCAGAGCCCTGACTTAAACCCAATTGAGCATCTCTGGAGAGACCTGAAAATGGCTGTCCACCAACGTTTACCATCCAACCTGACAGAACTGGAGAGGATCTGCAAGGAGGAATGGCAGTGGATACCCAAATCCAGATGTGAAAAACTTGTTGCATCTTTCCCAAAACGACTCATGGCTGTATTAGATCAAAAGGGTGCTTCTACTAAATACTGAGCAAAGGGTCTGAATACTTATGACCATGTGATATTTCAGTTTTTCTTTTTTAATAAATTTGCAAAAATTTCTACATTTCTGTTTTTTTCTGTCAAGATGGGGTGCTGAGTGTACATTACTGAGAAATAAAATGAACTTTTTTGATTTTTGGAAAATGGCTGCAATGAAACAAAGAGTGAAAAATTTAAAGGGGTCTGAATACTTTCCGTACCCACTGTATGTCGATGACTTAACATTTTCCATTCAACAGGAGCTTATTGGTCTTCCAACCTTTCCATCCTCAGTATTTAGGAATTTGACTGGTGTTTTTCTGAACAATAGTACTTACTCCAGTAATGTGATATTTGATGTTGTTTTTCTGGTTTTGTAATTATCCTTTTACCCTTCTTTGTGCTAACATTTGATAGTGTCTTTTCACTAACATATAAACTGTATTTTAGTGGTACTAACCTACTGTAATTCATTGATATGTTTTGAAAACATCTGCTCCAGTTTACAGTTTACTGAATGGTTTCCATTATCCATCTGATACAGTACATCTGATTGGCAGTTACACATATCTGGGAGGGTGATAAACCCTCGGGAGGAGGTTAGGTTCACAGGATAAGTTGGAAAACCGTCAGTTTCTCTCTGACTCCTCCCCTCCTGCAGAGCCTGAGGCGGCTGTCTGACACACCGTTTCATTTCCTCATTCATTCTGTCGATATCAAAGCACATATCTGAATGCATGTACATCTTTAAAAACTTTAAAATCCCGGTTAGATAGGCTAGTTTTTTACCCAAACATGATCTTGAGCATGACCGCTTCATGATTAATCTGTCATCGATGTAAGGACAGATCTCCGCACATCGTGGATTTAGCTAGCACTAACCAGCTTCACTTTTCCAGCAGTTGGGGAATCAAAAGACAGACTTTTCTTTGTCCTGAGAAGCTGACACACTGTAACTGACACATACATTTACTCCACTCCACTATTTTCCTCCACTTGCATTCACTGTCACTTTCTGGCCCTCGGACAATCAAGCACTCGCTATGCACACGTCCCGATCCCTTACAGGAGTTACGCTGCTCTTATAACAGCACCTTTCACGTAGATGTTCTGTGAAGAACCAGGAGAGGAACCTAGATCATTAAACTATATGCTACTTAGCATATAGTTTAATGATCATGGGAAATTTTAGCAGTGGCGGTCATAATTCAGCAGAGGCACAACGCCACTTCTGAATGAATATAGGGGAAACACTGTCAACATTTGCCTTGTGAATTTGATCCATGCTGTTATATTCTATACAATAATATGCTTCCCTTTTGAATTACTGTAACAACCTATACACTCATTTGATTGGCCCAGCTACTAACCCATTTATTCAGTACCCCCTCAGTTGTCTCCACCCCGCCACCTGCTCTTTGACCTTATTGTGCTGTGGCATGTGGTTTGTTGGAGGTTGTACTGACTAGGGGTTGCTTGTCTCCCCAGGTCTCCTCCACTCCAAACAACAAGACTTCCGATCCCTCCACCCCTGCTGCCAAGACCAGAGTGAGTCCCTACCATCTACACCCTTACACTAGAGAGTGCATTGGGATTTGGATCCCGCGGGACCCAGTGCAAATCTCGCGGGAGCTGGCGATATAAACTTTGCTGCAGGCAGGAGTGGGTGGTCAAAATGAAAATTTTAGAATATGGTTCCTTTATGTGTGAGTGAATGATCACACTGTCTTGAAATAACTGCTGGTTTATTAAAAACAATCATGCATGAACAAATCGACGTTAAACAATTCCTCGCTAGTACATTGCAGCTTGATAATAACATGGTAATAGTGGGGTAATACTTTGATAATAAAGAGGTAATAATTACTACCATGCAATTGCCAAAGTAATAACCAAGTAATAGCTTGGTAGTAACTGGGAGTGTATCTGGGTAATATTAGAGTGCAATGTATGTAACAGGGTAATAAGGGGTCAAAATAATGGGGAAACACATTTAAAGAGTGCAATGCTTACGAAAATGTTACATGTGTAAACCACATGTGAACGCTCAACATGTGAACAGTGCACTGGTGTTCATCACCTTAAAGGGATACTTCTGCAGAGAGTTATTTGACATTTGAACTCAACTGCCAAACAAACACACAGACGCTCTGCTCCCCAAATTCATGCAACCTGTACTACTCTGAGCTACTACTCTACGCTGAAATATGGCAGAATCCACAGCGTCTGCTGGCCAAGGGCAAGTTAACCTCAGCAAGGTGGCAGGTTTTGTGCAGTACTCTAGAAGAACAGAGTAAAAAAACTAGCAAGTTATTTGAAATAGTTTTTACAAAAATACAGTGAGTCAGGAAGTACAGGGGAGACTTATTTTTCTCCAGAGCTGAAGTCGATGGTAACTTCTGGGCTAACCCCCCTTCACTCTTTCAACAGTTGGCAAGCTACACATGGGTGCTCCGCTTTAGTCTTGAAAAGCTGCGGTCTTTATTCACCGGTCATTGTAACTTAAACTGTACATTTACTAAACAAGACATATTGCTGATCTGTTTCTCTCTACCGAACGGGTACCCATTCACACACACTCACTCCACCACATACACACACTGACCTCTGTGGTAAAGCTGACAAAGCTAACCAGTTGGGATCAGACATCACAAACAACAAACAAGACAGTGCTGACCCATCGTTTGTGTGAAACAGCAACACTAACGTTACTCGCCTGTCCAGTAGAAACAGAGCGACCTCCACATCGGTTTTCATTCTTTTCAAATCTTGGAGGTTTATCCAGCATTGAAACACCTCACCGATGTTACCACGCCCATGCATGGTCATATAACTACTTACACAATTTGTACTCTCCTAGAGTCCCATACTGAATCCAGCATGTTCCGTGTTTACAACTTTCTCTCTCCCACTGCTCCCATGCCTGAGCAGGAGTGCCCCCATCATCTTTTATGCTCGCTTTGCTTGTTCACCTGAAACTTCAAATAAAAAAGTTTGTACTGTTACTCTTCAAATAATGTCAGTGTTGTCCTATGACGCCAGATAGTGTATGCCATGTTGTGTTTTGGGGTATTTTTTTGGGTCTTTTTTTCTTGTCTGTTTTTATTTTCAAAAATGCCGAAGGATTTGAATGAATGGTTTGACATTTTTACAGTACACTACCCTGCAGAGAATTATATTCATATTTGTTGGCAAAACACAAATGGATACTTTGCCTGGTTGCTGTTTTTGCATCAGAGACACTTGCCTCTAACAGTGACCGAGATGTGGATCTTGGACACAGATATTCATCTTGCTGGTTTATGCTTCAGATCTTCAGATCTGATCGTTTAATTAGTACTTTTTGTATTTATGGTGTCCCTTTTGAACCCGAGATGATTTTATTTGTTTGTTCATTCATTCATTTATGTTTTCCTTCTTTTTCACTTTGGCTATGTTTGTTGTCTTTGTGATATAACCCTTGCTGTGAAATTATTTACCCTGCTTGTAGACATAGGTGAAAGTCGAAATATCAAAGAGATGGCATTCAACACATGCCACATTATTGATTTTGGTCATCATTCAATATTAAGGTCCAGTGGGCCAAAATCCATGTCTCTTGAGTTTTGCTTTAAGAAAATCCAGGGATCCTGGCAAACCATACTCGGAATTTGCAGTTCAGTAATTTTTCTTAGAAATGTGGGACTGGCTGCGGGGCAAAACAACAGGCTAATGAGTGTTGTTTTTTAGAATGTACCACTTGAAGTAAAAGGAACATGTTTTGTCTTCCACATCTTGTTGTCTGCTTAGAAGAGCATGTGTTAACCACTTTAACACACAATCACTGATTGTCCTGTGAAATATTCTTTTGCATGTGCTCTATCTCCTCTTCCAGTGCTTGTCCTGTGTTTGACCGTTTTTGGTTAATACTGTTTATGGAAGCACTCTGTTGTTACTCAGTTGGTATCCTCGTCCTTTGGTACAGCATTTACTTTTCTAAGAATTCAAAAACATTTCCTAAAAGAATCTGTCCAATTAGCAGTACCCTCATTTGAACCATTATGATTTTGTTGCATAATATCCCAAAACCATTTTTACAGTGCCATGTTCTGATTAAGTTTTCACATAATGCAGCCAATCACTCAACTCATTTGATTTGAATGACAGAATCTCTTCCATACTAACAGAGCAAGGCTCCTCTGTTTCCTGTTAACTCAAGCTGCCAGCTGATCTGCTCTTCTCTGCTGCCCTTTTCTGTCTGCCTGTCATACTTTTCTTTTTTCTTTCTTTCTTTTCCCTCTCTGTCTCCTCACCTCCTTGCTTGTCTGTGTGTCTGCCTGCCTGTCTTTAGGTTCAGATAGTGCACAAAAAGCTGGACTTCAGCCATGTCACGTCCCGCTGTGGCTCCAAGGACAATATCAAACATGTCCCTGGAGGTGGCAATGTAAGTACTGCTGGCGCTGGAGGCAGTCTCTAGTTAGGGTGGATGCATATCACATTTTCTGCTAATTTTGCCTCATTCTGGCTGTCTGGCTCAATTGGGAACCTCCTTTTTATCCCAGCCACAAAAATACCTAATTTGTCACAAAGGGATGGAAGATGAATTTGTGGTCTTGGTATGTACATTTGGCTCACCATGGCTAGATGCATAGTAAATCGCTTACACCTGATTAGAGTGTATTTATGCAGAAGCGGACATAGTTCTTAAAACTTAATCACAATGATATAGGATGATCCTTATTTGAAAAGATTGGATACTTACTGGTAAGAAATCAAATTAGTCTGGCTACAGGATACAGTACATTGGAATCAGTCTGGAATCAAATCTAGTGTTATTCCTAATTTAATCTCTGCACACAGATTTTAGAATCCATCAGGGCGAGAAGCGTCAACTACAACAATACAGAAAGCAATTTTTTTCCAAATATCAAACATTTACATGAACAGGTTATCATTTTCAGTGTAATTAAGAATAAATGCACCGTAATTGGCACATTTACGGCTCATTTAGGATTGATTTTACTTAAAATGAACTGACCACAGGTCCTTCTGCCCACCCTTCTAAATGTTGTTCCCATCTGCTCCAAACACCTGCAGCACTATCATACTCCATCCTTGGGCTGCTATACTGGAAATGGTCAAGTAGAGGCATTAAATAAAGCTATAGGCTAGACCGGTCACACATATCACAATGTCAGCAACTGTTTAGTTTTAATACCAAAGAAACCTGTAATCTCATATAACAAATCCATAGGATTAATTTCCTTGTGGATCCTGAAATATGCCATTTGGTACACATCATCAATTTAAACAGTTGTCGTGAAAATGCTCTTAAGCTTACAGAAATCGTAATTATTGCCAGAACATATGTAACATTAAAATGGAACTCCAACAGTTGGAATGTGGATTGTACATATCCCTATATATATTGATGCAGCATGATCTTATAAAATACATTACTATATAATTATATCATGTAATTATGTTTTGTCATGCTACTCAATTGTCTTTACTTTGGCTTGTCCATTTTTTTGATTACATTAGGTGCTCGGTACATTGTTATGTTGTTGTTTACATGTAAATGTAAAACAATAATGCAATCAAATGTACAACACATGTAAAAGTATGTTCCAAAGCATGTTCCACATAATACAAACAAATACTGTCCTATGCTAGTTGCACCGATATTCAAATTTTACTGGTGTGTTTCCTCAATCTAAAATGATCAAATATTTGTGTTTATATTATAAAATCGTGTCATTAATATTTTAACTGCCAGACATCCTCTAATGAGGGAGAGCTCTAATGTCAATCAGGCAATCAGAACTAATCTAGTTTGTTTTCGAATAAAATTTTAGTCCACGTACTGTTAAGTCTCTCTGTTTGCCGTCAAATTTTGTAAATATGATTGATCTCATCACACAGGTCACCGGTTCTTAAAATCCATCAGTGCCAGCTACTGTCAGACTAATCAGGATGATTCCTTGTGATCCTGAACAAACACTCTCATCATGTGACACCGGTCTAAGAACTGCCTTCTCCCATCTTCCAATTATAGCTTGTCTCAATTTATTTGCATTAATGGAGCATCCTTTACCAGCCTAACAAAACAAAAAGGCACCTTCAGTAACAATTAAACAGGGCAAAGCAGGGAATGAAGCATGGGTAGATAGTCCAGCATTTGCTGTGTTGTATCCTTTTTCCCAAATACTCATTGTTTTGTACTGAATGTTATCCTGTTTTTAAATGCACCGGGTGCATCATAATGGATGAGAGTGATTTTCTAAAGTGGATAGAGTGGACGCTGAAGTATAGATGCATTGTACTGGATGCGGCATCTTTATGAGTTAGTATAAAGAGGCTACATTATGATCTCTCCTCTTCTTTAGGTGCAGATCCTAAATAAGAAGGTTGATTTGAGCAAGGTGACATCCAAATGTGGCTCCAAGGACAACATCAAACATAAGCCAGGTGGATCTTAAAACTTCGATTCTACTCCCTTCAAACGCTACTTTATCCTATGCTGGTCTCATACTAACCTTCTTTTACCTCAGGTGGAGGTGATGTGAAGATTGAGTCCCATAAGCTAAACATTAAAGCTAAGTCTAAGATTGGATCCCTGGATAACGTGGGGCCAGGCAACGGACAGACCAACGGACACAAGGTCAAACTTTAACACAGTCATTAACATCATCAGTTGATAGACAGTTAACTTCTCCTATTCTGCTGACTCATTGTGCTTTTACTGGTGGACACCACTACATGGCGTGGTAGCACTATAAAAAAACATAGTGTTCTTGTGTGTGTGTCCCTGCCCTTGTGTTTCTATATTTGGCTACAGGAGGAGAAAACAGAGGAGAAGACATCTTCACCCCCAAGTGGTGCTCCGACAACAGGACCAGCAGGCGTTGCTAAGGCAACAGCACCAGGAGGAACTAAGGAGAATGGAGTGAAGGACCCCACACCTACTCCTTTTGGGGGTGACGGCCTGAGGGAGCCCCTTAGCATAGACAAACGCATCACTGAGACAAGTAGGTGCAAACAAATACAAACAATCAGTTTTAAAAGCAATGAAGTGCTTTAGCCAACTGTCCATTTGCGAAGCCCTCCTTTTTGTTGCTACACTTATCAAGCTTTCCATTCTTGCACATATGTAGCTTAGAATTTTAAGCATGGCAGTTTTACCAATCAAAATTCGTAGCAATTTTTCTAAACAATGGGTCCTTGATTTTAGAAAAATTTATAGCCGGCAATCATGGATTTGGTTGGCTGAAATGGCAACTGTTGTTTGCAATAGGTTAAAGCTCTATGAGTTAGTTGAAAACTGACTTTTTAATGTGTAAAGCTCTGTTGTTTTTTTTAATGACGATGACGAAGTTCTCAAGTACGGCAACCTGTGGACTGAAAAGTTAAAAAGTGCCAAAAAATTTAGTTGCTGGAATGGCCACTTGAGGCTGGCCACATAAACCCCCATGTTAAAGGATATTTCGGTATTTTTAAACCTGGGTCCTATTTTCACATATTTTGATTTCAAGATGGTGAAGGCCAAGGCCATAAATAATATATTTAGCTCCTTTTTGAAATAACACTAGATTGCTACTGCAGTAAGCTAGTTAGCTAAGCACGGTACAATCCATTCCATACTCTTTTGCTCTCTAGTTTTTGCTTTAACATGTAGAAATCCAAAACTTGACAGGCCTGACATGCCTAGTTATGGTTGCTAAGCTATGACTTGACAATCGCTGCTCAGGGGTTTAGTAATCTTTCAATTACAGAGATAATGGACAGTAAATGAGTAAATATCGTGCATGCAATGCAAGGATTTGTGTGTATAACTGTTCTCTGCTATGTGTCTGATGGAGTGGAGTGGTAAAAATAGCACACACTTTGCAGCTAAATGAAATTATGGAACCTACAAAGTAAAGATTAGCCTGTCTTAATGGATAAATTCCACTGCAGCAGGCCTCTAGATTTTCTGACTTCAGAGGGATGACTTCTACCACCCAGTGCGGTTGCCAAGCTCGGCCTAATTGATGGATGGTTGTAGTGTTAATGCAATAAAAACCAGGAATGTTTAATTTGGCCCATAATTCATATTAATTTGCCCCAGACAGTGAGAGCATATTAGCTAGAGTCCAGCTACTGCTGCGGTCCAAGCATCACGTTTCTCACTTTTTCTCTCCACAGATTGAGTCCCAGTGACGTGTAGAGTTTGGACACGCATGGCGCAGGCCGACTTGCCAATCAACCGACCAACCAACCTACCACGGCGCAGTCACTTCCCTCTTCCCTTCATCTCGCCCACCGCAGTACTGAACTGACCAATTGTCTCTCAGTGTTTCTCTGAGGTCCGCCTGCCAGCTTCCTGCTACCAACCCTGATCTTTGACCTCTTTACGCCCTCTGGTTGCCCTTTGGCCCTGCCCACCACAGCACTTGCTGTTTGTCTGTGTTTCTCTGTGTGGGGATCCACCAGCTTCTCTACTGATAAAATTCCCTTGTAATCACTGATTTAGAGGATTTCAATCCCATATTTAATAACCTTAAACGCAATAAACCCACTATCGTAGTCAATGCTGTATGGATATTGAGCATAGCCAATTTTTTCACAGAATATTTCCACCTATGAGTACAATTACTGTTTTATCACGTGTCCTTATAGCGCAAAGACCCTGCTTCAGAACTCAGTTTCTAAGGCTAATCTATGGTCTCTATTATAAGCTTTTACAATTCAAAACCACTTTGATCTTCCAACCTTGTTAGCAGACCTATGCCCTACCTCTATTCCCAGTCCTGGTCCATTTAGCTCCAGACCACACTAACCAGCTGAGGGCCTGCTACTGGCCAGCAGCAGGGCAAATACTGTCAAGTCTGCTTCAGATCAACACGTTCCAGCCTCCCAGCCAGCTAGCCAGCCATTATTTTCAAATAGACAGTATCTACAGCACTGCACATTATCTAATTAAAGGTAATTCTACAACTCACTCATCAATCATTATTTCCCATTAGATCTCTTGGTATCATTGCACCAGTTTGTCTCCACCAAATGTATTACAATACTGCTTCTTTATCTCTGGACTTGATGCTCACAATTAACAGTGATCAATGCAGAGGACAAGGACTTATATAGAGTAGAGGGGATACAGTTTGGAAATAGATCTAAAGTTATCATTCGAAATCAGTACAGAGAAGTCAGAAACTATTAGGATGTTAGACAATTCGTGTTCAATAAAAGAAGAATTTATCGAGAGTACTTGCAGATGACTTTATGTGGTTAGTGCATGATAATCATCAAGAAAGGTAGGCGTAAAGTGATGGGAGAGCTCTGTTGTTTCACTGGGTGGTCTTGGCTCAAAAAATTATTTGGCATCTAACAGGTATTTGATCTCGAAGTTAAGATCACAGCATTTGACTCTGAAGTAGTGAGCCAATCTGAAGGAGGGATTAAAATCAATTTATTGCGGAAGAATCGTCATGATCAGTGGTTTTGCTCATGCTGGCAAAGTAAAACTGTGACATTGCTTTGACAAGCTAATTTCCACCATTGACCAATGTCAAGCCATCTTATATGCGCTGTGCTTTGAGGGATCGGAGAGCTGTCCAAAATGTAGGAAGCTACGGTAGTATTATGAACTACCTCTGTTTAGAGTATAAACAGCTCCACAAAAGAGGAATAGTTCTAAAGTAATAATTATGAGACTTTTGAATAAATGGTCTGAACATATTTTCCCATTAGCAACTGTGCTAACAAGCTTGCTTGATTAGCAGGCTTGCTCTCTTCAGTAAGTGAATGAAATGACAGTCCTAGAACGAAATATCTTTTTTGGGACTGACTTGCACTAGTTTTCAATCTTGAATCTACTTCGCCAAGCAACTAAAACTACATAGTATATCGAGGCACGGATGAATTTCACCATACCATTTTGTGGTATGATCGGGCCTTAAGACAATATTCGTATAGACTTAGTAACCCTTGACCTTTTAAATAAGCTCACATATGTGACCCTTTGCATGGCAAAAGGAACTAAATCCTTTAGTATAAATTTTCTGTTTAAGACTGTTTCTGCCACAGAACATGCAACCCTGCTCTCCTGCACCATAACCCTTTGGTTCCCACACTGTCTAATCGCTTGATCCAGTAACCCCCCATTTAATCTTCAGTCCCACTCATACACCTATAGACACTCCTGTGAGGATCCTCAGCAGTCACCCTGAGCTGTGTCTAGTATTTACAGTTCATATGTGGCTATTAGGGACAGACAGATCCTTCCTTCTCTCACACATGTAGCATTTCCTGGTCATGTGGAGAGTGGGTGGGGCTACATAGCCACATCCTAGTTTAAGTCCTCCCACTAGGCGGTACATCTTTGAATCTTCTATGCCCTTTTTGACCAAATTAGCTTTGGTTCTTGAACCAGTTCTGTTCAAGATTCTTGGAACACTAATGCTATCTAGCAAAGTAGCCCAACCAGTTTTGAGCAGAACATTATAATCCAGGATGCGTCATCAATGGAGGGCTATTGGAATATGACACGCCCATTTTTGTTCGCACTTCAGGTCAAGGAAAACCTGATATTTTTTGGTTCCTGCTCCACCTTTCGGGTTGCGAACCAGTTTATTTTTGGTCGAAATTCTCCAAACGGTTCAAAATTCAGTGCGCGAACCAGAACGGAGCTAGTTCCATGTTGGTGGAAAAGGCCTATCTGTGAGACCTGCTAACTTTCTTCACACACAAACACTCTTACACGTAAGCACAGATATTGATAGGAAAGCACACACATGCTTGTTGGTGTGGATGTACACACACACACACACACTCAGAACAGAAATCAGCACACAAACAGTATATTCACAAACACAAATCAGCACGCTAAAATAAAAACGGTATGCTGTTCAGCTTCATAGAAGAATTTCTCTGTGCTAGAATGAAACCAACTCTTTATTGTGCTTTGGTGGTCTATGCTAATATTTTTAAAACAAGGATGAGCTGTGTGTGTGCGTTGGTCCTGTCATAGTCAGTGTCGGACAGTTTCATCATAGGCTCAGCTCATCCTGCCTCCTTCTCGTCTATCCTCTTCCTGTGTTTCATTCCAACTCTTTGACAGCAATACAGTGATCTTAGTTGGGAACGCGATGTACACACAGAGAGATGGACAGAGACAGAGAAGAGCCATAGAAGTTAACCGGTAGTTAAGAGAGGAGTGAGTTCACTTGCAGGAAGAACTGTAAAGGGAATAATGTTACATTCATGGCACGTCTGAAGTTGGCATTTTCTTTGCAACTTTTTATTGATTTACTAATGTACTTAATAGAGACTAGTAGATTCAACATACTAAGAGCTATTACCAAGCCACTTTAGGTGACTACTGTAGTACTATAGTAGAAAATTATCAAGATGTTCAGAGTTTCAAGTTATCTAGTGTCTCTGGCATATAGTTTACTTAACATCTGTAGTGTAAATAGATGGAAGTAAATTGCTTTTTAATTGCTTTTTTTTAAAACATTTTTGTTCTGCATTTTCTTGTTCTTTGTTTTGTATAGGATATCACTGGAAGTTATTACAAAAGGTTTATTTATTAAAAACGTGTTTTACTAAACTCGACAGCATGAACTGCCCAGCTCCAAAATGCCATGAATGCAGCAGTATTTCAGCAAGGCAGAAGTTGTCTTTATAATGAAAAATCTCTAGTTGTAAAATAGAGAACCACATTTTAAGCGATAACAACACCTAAAATTGTAGGGAACATTTTTTGTATTATTCTAGGGAATCATCTAAATTCAGTTTTGGCATTTTAGATTCTATTAAAACACTGTGAAATTACTTTGATTTACAGACCATAAGCATTCTTATGTGTCACACCAGTATAATGAGTAGAAGCAGCCATCTTAATGGAGATCTATCTACTCACTGTCTATGCATTGTGCATTAAAGGCTGGGAGGGTCATCGCTGAAACTATGAAGGATTAGTGACGTGTTTGTAGGGTGTTGTCGTACTTGTCAGATGTGTGAAGTGTTACTACTGCATCCATCCTGTAGAGAGTGCTGCTTAGCCTCTGGAACACTGATAGTCTGGCTCTGAGACTCATCAAAGGCTGAGTGAGAAACCTTACATCATTAGAGAAGCTTCTGTGGAGTTACATCCTGCTGTCATTTAATAAGCTTTGATGGCCACTCTATACTATTGTGTCTGGAATACTAAAAATCATGTTAATTATGTACAGCTCCCCTTAAAACCCCAAAGTCTTGTGCTCTTTGAACACAGTCTTGGTCATTTATTGAAGCACTGACGTGATATAAAAGTTGCTTTATTGTATATTGGTAAAACATTGTCAACTGTGTACTGTACATCTGTGCTTTTGGGAGCAAAACAGTCTTGGTAGTTAGAGACAGTTATGATAATCAAAGAGCAAGTGATCAAATAGTCAAACAAAAAAGACTAGACTAAAACTAAAAACACCATATAAGCATTTTAATATTGTACTCTTCCCTCCAAATCATTCCCATGAGTTGCCTAAAAGTAAAACATCAGACATGACATCTGTGTGGATCATATGTGAAAACGACAATGTGAATCTTTCTTTGGGAATAGAAGAACAAAGGGATGAAAGCACTTTGATAGGTGTAGACAGTGGTCCGTGTATATAAAATAGGAGCAAGTTGTAGTCTTAATGTGTCTTGGAAGCTATGTATGTTCCCATATGACGGGATGATCTGATGTTGTGTATCATGGATGACGCATCGGTAGCCCTTTATCTTGGTCAGCTTAGAGGATTTTAGTGTAACTTTGGTCACCTGTGTTGTACAATTGGCTATGATGGTTTAACACTGTCCGGTGTGTCCCCATGTTGTTCCCGTCAACATTCACTGGTTATTACTTTCTGACCAAGCTACAAAGTCTCATTTACGAAGTGGGCAAGTTCCTTCTTATCATTAAATTTAAAGGATGCCTCTGGTAGAAGGGTTTGCCATGAATGAATTTCACTCCTTTAAAGTATAAAGTAAGCATAAAGTATGTTAAGTCATTGTATGTGATTTTCATGATCCTAAAACAGTGACAACTGACAATGTGTTGAGACACGAGAACAGTTCCAAAGCTGCATGGTTAAATAATTTTAATGACAAGCATTCAAACCTGTGAGGTTGATTTCGCAACCTGTAAAACAGACATTAGATTTGATGAAAATGATGCACTTTACGTGTGAGGAGGTGAGTGATGTTATCCAGACAGCTACCAAGTTTTTGTAAGGGAAATTGCTAATGATGAAGATTGTGATTCTGTTTTGCAATGTATGAATCTACAGGCTATAAACTAAAAAGCAATTCCAGTTAAGTAAGTTTGTAAAACTTAGTACATGTGATTTAAGTGAAGTCATAGTGAAATAAAATTGGTTGTTTTCCACGTATTTGTTAAGGATTTTGGAAGGGCATTCTTGTAGAGAGCTGACAGGAAATGAGATGGGTGATGACGTGACACAAACGTCCCTGGACACGGTCAGCATCTTAAACCGTTAGGCCAACCAGGCATCGCAAAGTGAATAGTGATTAAGCTAGATTCATGCTTTTAGTACTTAGGATTATTTGTGGAATAAATTTAACATTGCAATTTTGCAGCTTGGACAAAAGGCAATAATCAGATTCACTCTGATGTCCCCTCACAAATGTTTGATTCCCCAGTTATAGAGCTTGAATACCACCTTTCCACTAGTATCTTACACTGTCCCTTGTATATATTTTCCACCACGTTTTTATCACTCCAGAAGTAACTCAAATAAATAAAACAACAAAAAACAAAAAAAAAACGTATTAACACTGAGTGAAGGATGTTGACAGATGAGCTTTCACCTCCATAGACCTGTTACCGTTAGGGTCAATAATGGTATTATAAGATTGAAAGCATCAGAAAGGAAAAGTGTACTTTTCTTTTTTCAGAGTCTGCCTTTGTCCTCCAAGAAAAGAGCTGCTTAAGTATCAAGAATGTTTTTAAAATGTATTAAAGATGCAAGATTATGAATTCATGTATGAGGTTTGTCTCTGTTCTGTTTTGGAAGATATGTCATATATGGATACACTATTAATGGGATTCATGTTGACGGGCAGGAAGGGAGGCAGTGTGTGTCATGTTTGGTGAGGTCTAATACGTGGCTTAACAGAAGTATCACAGAAAAAAAAACCTGGGATCACATAAAAACAAAATCGCACACATTGGTTGGCAGACTTTACTTCATTAAAACAGTAAGAAACAAAGTGTTTTCCACTTCAGTTTGAAATGCACTACTCTACATGTGACATGTGACACACATTGGTCAGCCCTTACTCCCGCCTACCGCCACCCCCCTGTTAGACTTTCCAGGCTTAGTCTTTTGGCATGTGGTAGAAAGTAATGTTCTGTATTAAACAGCTCTTATAGACACCGTGTCATACCTACCAACACAAGATTGGATGAAAGGAGGACCAAAGTATTTTCTCAGTGTCAAAAGAAAAAGGCTGAAAATAATGGAATATTTTAGACCAATTTGCACAATTTAAAAGCATATGGTATATTAATGGAATTTTGAATTTGAATTGTCCTCCTAAGAGAGGCAGCTAATTGCATGAAATGTAACTTGGAAAAAGGTTAAATCCAGAACAAAAGGGAGTGTTGGTAGATAAACACCTGGAGCCCTTAGCTGTGTCTCCCACCTACAGAGGCTTGTCAGCATCACAGCACTGAAAAGTAGCTTTCTCTACTTGTGTCCTTTACCACATATACAGCAACTACCAGATGGTAATCCAGTTAAAAACCAATATTCAAACTGTCTGTTTATCAAGGAGAGCACAAAATTAGAACTCTGTATTTTTACATGATAAATACAGTATTGATTTTATTCATGAGACAGGCTTTGTCCCAATCTGTCTTTACACATTTACAGGAACCAGGCAAAATAATCTACTTTTCAGTGCCGTGGAGTGGGTCCACTATATTGCGTGCTGTGTTATTCTGTAGGGCACAACACCATAGCAAGAGCATGCAGAAGACAACAAACTGCTGGTTGTTAGAGGCATCTGTCCCATTAGATAGAGCTCATCTCCCCCTATAATTCTGAATATTTGGTATGAAAGAGTTGTTCATTGTGATTAATTGTTAACCAGTGATGTGAATATTAATCATGAAATAAAAAGATGAGCAAAAGATCAGGCAGCGTCACAGTCATTTCTTTTACATTATAAACATTTTATTGTTTATTTTATTTAGTTTTTGTTACATATTGGTTGACCTTTTTAACCAACAGTATACCATAATCAGCAGTTAACCCAAACTATACACTCTACATTTAGCTACAGTGATGGACTCCATCTTCTAGTTGTATGTTATTTTCTGATCAGTAGGCCCACAGACCATCATCTTAAAAATCATTGCATTTGAAATATAGCAGCATCTGGACTGATGGATGAATTTCAATGTATAGTACTGTTTCAGAATCTCAATCTATCTAATTGTATTTGCTAACTGAGTGTATTTGGGTTGTGATGCTTATGCAGGTTGTATGGAATTGCAGGTCTGAAACTACTTCCTCTTTTTAAATAATATATTATATTATGATATTGGTGTCTGAGCTTGGCATTGGAAGCTTTTCAAAGAAAGACAGTGTGATAAAATATACACTACACCAATGCGAGGACAAAGATAATGACATATTTTGGGAATTAATTACTTATGACTCCAAAAAGTAGGACTTCTCAAACTTACTTCCTCATTCCTATAATGTTTTCATATTACACCTAAATATTCACAAACCTGATATGTCTTTTCCCTTTTTTTTCCTTTTGTGTTCTCAGACATCAGAAATTCATTGTCTCATATGGATATTTATGCATACCAAACCATTCAGATGCACGTGCATTTCTGAATAAAGTTTGTCATACTATTGGATGATAATTAATGATGCGTTAATGTGTACATTTTTTGTTATTTTCGCTAGATAGCGCTGCAGTGATTTTGGCCTGAAAACACCAATGGGACAAGGACAGAACCCACAAAATATTCATAGGCATTAACAACCAGGCTGTAACAACCAATACAACTGTATGATCATGTGCTCTTATTTTGGTTTGCAATCTAGTAAGTATTAAACTGAAAATACTGGGTACCTACAGGGTACAGTGCTGGTAAACAGCTGAACGGTTGACAATACACTGACATCCTATTAAGTAATTATGGTGTTTTTCTCTACTGGGATGTGGTACCAAAACACAATAATTTACAAATGGACGAAGTGCAATAAAAAGCTATGATTTTGTCCTGCCTTCAGAAGACAAACCTCAAGGGATTTGTAATGTATTTTCTACTTCATTGTATGATTTGGAAAGAACAAGTTGAGAAATGGGTCTATTCTCTGTTCATTCCGCACTGTAGCAGCAGGTAGCTAGCATAGTATACAGAACATCTGCCCTGAGTATGGTCTGGAAGTCCTAAGGTCAAAATGAAAGACACCTCCTAAGTTAGTTGAGAATTACCGAGCTAAGATGCTGTGGGACTTCAAGATCCAGACTGACAAACTGGTGATTGCTAACCAATAATACATCGTGTTGATCGACAAAACGCAGAAGAAGGCAGCAGTGATAGATGTAGAAAAACATCAAGAAGAAGGAACACGAGAACCTGGAATAAATACCTGAAAGGGCTGAAAGAGGATCTAGAACAGATGTGAAGACTAAAAGCAACAGTGGTGCCATTGGTAATCAGAGCACTGGGGGCTGTGACCCCCAAACTGGGAGAGTGGCTCCAGCAGATTCCAGGTATAACATCTAAAGTCTTTGTACAGAAGAGTGATGCAATCCTAGGAACAGCTAAGATACCGCGCAGAACCCCCAAAGTCCCAGGCCTCAGTCCCAGGACCCAAGCTGGAGGATGACGCATAGGCTACCTACCCACGAGTGGTGAGAGGGGGATTTTTTCCCCACATATAGATGAAGGTGGATCAAACATAGCTAATACTGAATGTTAAATGAGGTACAGAGGAACCTAGTATTTATTTTCATTCTTTTAATTACACAAGACGAAAAAGGTATGCAGTTGTAGAAAATGTTCAGGGGTGCGGGCTGTATTATAAAGTATCCATACTCTGTTATTAATTCTTACTCTGTATTACACAAGAACAAGACATGTGGGGTGGAATATAAAAAAATGTTGTTCTATTGTTTACATTAAATTGTTCTTTTCCTAATGGCTACTATTTATTCTTGTGCTTTATTTGGGGGCAGAGCCCTTTAAAGAGAGAGTCGCGTCAGCGGGGGTCCAAAATGCTTTATCGTCACATGGTTCATGGAGACCGCAGGTAGTTCCTGGAAGTTCTAGGCGGACAATTGAAAATGAGAGAGAGAAACGAAAAGCGTTTTAAGATATATATACATATATTTTTGACAATAACAGCTACAATCACCTACCTTGTTGACATTTTTTGGCTAACCTTACATTGTTATGAGTTGTAGTTTTTCCCTGTGAGTTTGAGTTTGTGCCATTTGTTTCTGGTGTCCTTTTGTTTACCCGTTCTTTTTTGTTTCCTTGTCCTTAGTGTTTATGTCTTGTCTCATGTTCTAGCTCGTAGTCCTGTGTTGATTTGATATTGCTTTGGTTTGGTAGTCTAGTTGTTATATTGTTTCTTAGTCACTGCCTTAACTCTTGTTCCTGCGTTTTAGTTCATTGTCCTTGTTCCCAGTCCTGTACCTTAGTTCATGTTAAGTGTTCACTCTGGTCTGTTTTGTGTTCAGTAACCTGTGTTCCGTCTGTTCCCCCGGTTGTCACTCTGCCTGCATGTCAGTCTCTGTTTCCCTCTGCTTACTGTCTCTCTCTCTCTCTGCCTTGTTAGTCTCATGTCTGTCACCTGTGTTGCTCCCGCCCTGCTCGTTAGTCTCTGTGTATATACCTGTTGTTTCTGTCTTGTCCTTGTTGGGTCATTGTATGTTGTCACCCTGAGTTGCAGTGTGTTTCTTGTGTGGTCAGCCTCACTTGTCGTGTTTCCCTGCTCGTTTTGGATTTCTGTTGGACAGCCTTTGTTTTGGACTTAGTCTTTCAGCCACTCTGTTTGTAAGTGTGCTCGCCTTTTGTTATATTAAAACCCTTCAATGAACTGCACCTGCTAGCCTTCGTGTCCTGCGTTTGGGTCCTCCAACCTGCTCAACCTCAACTGCCTTCACCACAAGACCCTAACATACACTGGAAAGTGTGTTCCTCTTGAAAACACATTTAAAATTCACATCAGATTTACCTTTCTAACATTCCTTTTAGTAATCTCATGGTACCAGGGTTAATTGATCTTAATGACTAATGCAGGGTTTTTCAGAGTCTGAGACTTCGGGCCTCCCCTCAGATAAAGCTTGAAAATTAATTTCAATTTCAATTTCAATTTTATTTATATAGCGCCAAATCACAACAACAGTTATCTCACAGCGCTTTTCATAAAAGAGCAGGTCTAGACCGTACTCTGTGATGATATTTACAGAAGCCCAACAGTTCCCACCAAGAGCAAGCACTAGGCGACAGAGGCAAGGAAAAACTTCCTTTTAAGAGGCAGAAACCTCGAGCAGAACCATGGCTCAGGGTGGGCGGCCATCTGCCTCGACCGGTTGGGGTGAGAGAGAGAGAGAGAGAGAGAGAGAAAGAGAGTGAAAGAGAGAGAGAGAGAAAGAGAGTGAAAGAGAGAGAGAGAGAAAGAGAGAGAGAGAGAGAGAGGGATGTAAGGAGAGAGAGGGGAGGGAGGCAGCCTACACAATATACACACAGAGGTACAGACAGCGAAGGTAATGTTGCTATAAACTAAATGAAAAATGGTACAGATATTTATAATAGTGTTAATGGTAACCATCGTAATGTTAATGATTATAATAACAATAATAACAATAAGACTAGCAACAATAGTCGTTGCAGTAGAGGGTGTCGAGCAGGAACACGGGGGCAGCAGGCGACCCGCAGCCACAGATCCAGACTCCACAGCTCCAGAGCCAGAAAACCTGCAGGAAGTGATAGGAGGAGAGAGGAGAGGGACGAGAAAGCACAAGACTACCAGAAAGGGGAGAAGTTGTGTTAGTAACATGCAATAATGGGATAAGGTTGCATACAGAGGGAGAGAAAGTAGAGGAGAGAGGAGCTCAGTGCATCATGGGAAATCCTAGTCTAAGCCTAAGTCTAGGCCTATAGCAGCATAACTAAGGGATGGTTCAGGACTCACCTGAGCCAGCCCTAACTATAAGCTTTATCAAAGAGGAAAGTCTTAAGCCTACTCTTAAATGTGGAGATGGTGTCTGCCTCCTGAACCCAAACTGGAACCTGGTTCCACAGGAGAGGAGCTTGATAGCTGAACGCTCTGGCTCCTAGTCTACTTTTGGAGACTCTAGGAACCACAAGTAACCCTGCATTCTGGGAGCGCAGTGCTCTGGTGGGGTAGTAAGGTACTATGAGCTCTTTAAGATAAGATGGTGCCTGACCATTAAGAGCTTTGTAGGTAAGAAGAATGATTTTAAATTCTATTCTGGATTTTACTGGAAGCCAATGCAAAGAAGCTAAAACAGGAGAAATGTGATCTCTTTTCCTGGTTCCTGTCAGAACACGTGCTGCAGCATTCTGGATCAGCTGAAGAGTCTTAATGGACTTTTTCAAGCAGCCTGATAATAAGGAATTGCAGTAATCCAGCCTAGAAGTAACAAATGCATGGACTAGTTTTTCTGCATCATTTTTAGACAGGATGTTCCTGATTTTCGCAATATTACGTAGGTGAAAAAAGGCGGTCCTTGAAATTTGCTTAATGTGGGACTTAAACGACATGTCCTGATCAAAGATAACTCCAAGATTCCTCACAGTGGTGCTGGAGGCCAAGGCGATGCCATCCAGGGAAACTATATCTTTAGATAATGCGTCACGGAGGTGCTTAGGCCCCAGAGCAATAACTTCAGTTTTATCTGAGTTTAACATAAGAAAATTACAGCTCATCCAGGTTTTAACATCCTGAAGGCACATTTGAAGTTTAGCTAACTGATGAGTTTCATCTGGCTTGATTGATAGATATAACTGAGTATCATCTGCATAACAATGAAAGCTTATGGAATGTTTCCTGATAATATTGCCTAAAGGAAGCATATATAAAGTGAAGAGGATTGGTCCAAGGACAGATCCTTGAGGAACTCCATGAGTAACTTTGGCG